ATAATAATAATAATAATATTTATAATATTTGTAAATGATGATGATGATAATAATATAATTCCAGCATTTCTTATTGGGGGCCACTTATCAAGGAACCTGCATGGCATAGCCGGGCAACTCCTGAAATTTTGAGTCTTCATGGTTGCAATTTGTAAATTGTAACATAAAGTTGTTGAGGGGCATTTCTAAATGTCTAAATTTGTCGGACCTGTCTGCGACGAGAGCAAAGTGGGCATGGTTGGGCGTCGCTCAAAATCTTTCGAAAGTGATCGAAAGGGCGAAGTCTCTGAAAAATATAAATAAAAAATAGAGGTTTCCAACGCTTATTTAATCGACTTATTCGAGTCAACCAATATGTAGAAAATACACATAAGTTCTGTCTCCCCAACTAATTGTGGTTTTTTTTAACCGACTAAGGGAGAGAGCTCTCCCCGACAGGGGGCCCTGGTTCCTGGCCCATTAATGTCACCCCTGTATTCTCGAAGCCTTACTGCTGTGCCACTTGCATCTAACAGAAGAGAGGGTTTAATTCTGCGGTGTGCAATCTATTTAATACCAAATTAAGACCTAATCAACGATATTTTATAAATTTTATTGTTATTAAAATATGATTCCTTTTTAACAGGTATTGCAAGTGATATACGCTGGCCCGGTGTGTAAGTTACCTAGTATTTCTTTGAATCCCGATGCGGACAATTGACAATCTTCGTTTTTTTTTAATGATACTTTTTTTTTTCAATTAATATAGGCTATAGGCCTATTATCATCAATATTATAGGTCTACGTTATTTAGGATTAATAATATTAATCGCCATGTTTACAATTTTGTTTAGATGTAGGCCTACTGGTATTACCATCATTGTTGATATTTTATAAATAATATGTTACTACTTTTGCTCTTTCCTTCAAGCCGGTTCATTATGTCAGTACGTGAGCTCTACAGGAGTGGACCAGAGTTCCCAGTCCAGTAGTTTTCTAGAATACTCCAACACCTTGACATCTCAGTGCATTTCACCTCAAAGTTCAGGTACCTTAGAATTCACACCTGATAGCAGTACCCCTAACAAAATATACTACCAGGTACGCTCACGTGCAAATAACCTGCTTTTTTGACTCGCTAGTTATGTTATAAAATTCACCATTCTACAAGAGCGGAATTCTCCCATTGAATATAGGCTCTAGTGATGATATGATGTTAATGCTAATTTGATTGGTCAGTAAAGTGGCATATTACTAGGCCCAGAGAGTTGTTATAGTGAGGCCTTGTTGTTCACAACAACCTTTTCTTGTTTTCTTATAAGATGTGGTTTGTCTTTACAGTGTTATACCCATCGGTACCTAGGTTGGGAGATAGATATTGTGGATCCTAGTGGAGGTAATGTCCGAAAAATTACTAGGCACATTTTTATTATTCTATTATAATAAGTCATATAATTTGCGCTTCTCTCAAGTGCACTCTTAGATAAGTGCTGCATCGAACATGATTTTCGCTAATGACCAACTCACAACGCGCTGCGCGGCGTTATTAGAGATACTATCGGAACACTGATTATTGCAACAAATCAGATAGCCGTATAAACAAATAAACCTTTAACAAATTTTTTTGTAATAATAATAATAATAATAAGATTTATAAAGCGCACATCTCCACCAATGGTGCTTAAGGCGCAGTGTCAATTACACCACAAAATAAACAAAATCCATATTAATTCCCAGAAGAATTTCAAGCAGAATCCGTATACCAATTATCCCATCGAGGCGGTGTTGCTCCCCATATAAGTATGCGCAGATACTCAAAGGCCGCGTTGAGCATCAGCACCTTCCACCCCAGAGGCCTAAGCTCCCTGCTCAAATAGGCCTAATTACCTTTCAGACCCCTCTAAAATGCTATATGCACCGCGGCGCATAGGGGCATTTAGTACTGTACAATTATTTTTCAGTGACAGAATATATTCAAATCGTCGGAATAGTAACCACTACCGGAACCTTGCTTTGAAATTGCTCAAGTGTGAGACTTGATCAAGTAAAGCCAGGCTCCGGAGGAAAACAATTTTTTGATATGTTATACAAGTTTTTTGAATGTTGACGAAAAACTCGGGAACAGTTATTAAAATACGGTACAGATTTGTGAATATTTAAAAACCTCCGGGAAAATGATGGTTACGCCTTCTCCGAAAATGTACAACATATCAACAAAATGTTAATAAAAAATTCAAAAAATAAGAAAAAAAAGAAAATAATATTCAAATTGAAATCTTAGAGTGCTATTTCCGGCCATCTAGCTGTGCCATAATCATACAATTTCGCTCAGCCCCAACCGTGGATCAGATGTGGTCAAGACCCTACATCTGTCAAAATAACTCCAAGGACCCCCTATTTTAAATTCCTGGATCCACCACTGACCAGTAAATGTATCTCTAGGTACTGACGGATGCAGCGTAGCACCTTGCCTTAATGGTGGTCAGTGTTTTCCGACGACAACCGGCGGGTACTTTTGTCTATGTACTCCGGACTACAGTGGTAACAATTGTGAGGTAGCTGGTCCGTGTGCTCAAAGTCCATGTTTTAATGGAGGAACATGCATTCCAACAATAGCATATCGGTGCATTTGTCCTGCTGGCTACAGCGGAAATAATTGTGAACAAGGTAAGAATCTGCAATTGTATGAGCCTTGTTTCTGGATTGAAAGAAAATCATCAGTATCATCGTGATTATCAGCAAAATTATTATCATCACCATCATCCTCGTCGTCACCATCATCATTATCATCATCATCCTCTTCAGATTCATCTTCAGCTTCATACTCATCTTTATCTTCATCGTCATATTCATCATCATCATCATCATCACCACCACCACCACCATCATACTCATCATCATTGATCTTTTTCCTTTTCTGCTTATAAATTTTGGGACTCTGCAATTACAATCATGTATCATCTCTGACCCTGAAAAATATTTAATCTTAAAGCCTTCCTCTTCAATTAGCTCAATTTCTTTCAACAAGCCAGTTTGTCTGTTTTAATAGGCGCTTTAAAGTGTGTTTTATTATTCTTATTATCATCATCATCATCATCATCATCATCATCATTGTCTTCTTCTACCACCGGTATGTTTTGATCCTGATTACCTTTAGCTTTATATTAGGATAATTTATCCAATAAACATATCAATAACTCTAGTTACTTAAAACAATTATTTAAAATAATGAGTAGGTAGGTATATAAAAAAGTAATATCATCTTATCAATAGGTGTAATTTTTGCCCTACCTGACGTGGAAGTGTACCGAATACTCAGTACGTTTGAAAACAATTGCGAAAAAAATCGCAAGTTGTTCTCGGGTGGGACTCGAACCCACGATCTCTCGATCACTAGCCTGGCATCATACCTCTAGACCACCGAGCTTGCACCTGATGGCCAGGGTTGAATTCGAGTCCAAGTAAGCAGCGGGTACTGCAGCGTTGATAGTAATTGTTATTGTCGTGATGGAATAGACAATAACTGGATTTGCGTCAGGAGAAACATGTATAGGCCTAGGTGTAATTTTTTCCCTACCTATCTCTTTTATAATCGGTTACATTTATTATCTGGTACCATTTTGTTTACACACTGTAGTTGATCAAACCCCTTGTGGTCAGAACCCCTGCATGAATGGTGGCGCCTGCACCAACCTCGGTACGACGAACTATATTTGCAGTTGTCCCCAATTTTACTACGGTACGAATTGCGAATCAGTGAACCCATGCACTCCTAACCCATGCCTTAATGGAGGAAACTGTAATGCCATCGGTGCCACGTACATATGTACATGTGCTGAAGGATTTGGCGGAAATAATTGTCAAGATAGTAAGTATATAAATCAAAGTATGTATTTTAATTATCATTTTTAGAATAAATGTCCACTAACCTGGCCGCAGCCAAAACAAATAACAAACCAAGGGTTAAATCATTTAGTTAAGAGATTAAAAATATTAAAACTGAGAAGCATTCAGGGTACCACGACATGGATGGCGCCAAGATTTGCTCGACGGGGTCCGATGTCCCTGACGGGTGGGGGAGGGGGATAATCCCCAACGAGAACTAAATGGGTGTTTTTCAGACGTTGCTCGAAATCCATCGGAATAAATCCAGGTACCACCCCGGCAAAAAAAAAAATATGGATCCGCCACTGATCACCATCTGGCAAGTTTAAGTTACAATGGTTGATAATAAATATATGTGTAAGGCTTACAGTAGGGCTATATTCAATCAGTATATGTATTTACCTATATCAAAATAGCAATGTCTACACACGATATTTTTACCATCACTATAATAAACGTTAACACAGTTTTATTTATCCTCAGCTGTTACCACCGATTGTAGCTCATCGCCATGCGTCAATGGTGTGTGTACTCCGCAATCAACAGGCTACGTCTGCACGTGTGTTACCGGTTACGTAGGGATTAACTGTGAAACACGTAAGTTTGAAATTAGCAGTGCAGTTAATTTTATGAGATGACGAAATTCGTTGTATTGATTTTTGAAACATACCGAAAGTTCGTCGAACATGCATCATCATGTTTGTTCATACGGTCTTTTCATTCAAATTAATAATTATTTTTGAACGGATGCAACCATAGATAATGGATTACAAAAGTTGTCCTTATAAATGTTCATGACCGTATCTAATGTATAAGAGACTGCATATCGTATTCTATAGGCCTAAAGTAATACGTGTCTTCATATCTTGCGAACTTTTAGCGGCATCGTGCAACACTGGGTACTGCTTAAACGGTGGAACTTGTAGATTCGATATTCTGACAGCGTCTGCCATGTGTATCTGCAATAATGACTTCACAGGCAACAGGTGTGATACAGGTAATTTCCAATCCGAATGCAAGGCAACGCACACTACATAAAAATTTTTTCCAATAAATTGATTGGTTGTTTTAATTGTTGTTCGGCGAGTCGGTTGGCACAGGGAAACCGTGACATACTGCCATAGGCCTATGCATAATATAGGCGTTGGTTCGAACGACACGCTCGTCTAATGGTTTCGGTGGTGGAACAAGTTTTCTCGGATAAGGACTCTAAACCGTAGGTCCAGTGTACACAATTGGCTCGTGTGCACTTTAAAAAACCCCAGTACATCATTCGGGAAGGGTAGGGGTTAACCCGGTGTACTGGTCCATTTCCAGTCCCCGTCCGGTCACAGATGGAGCGTTTACGTCGCCATCCTACCTGCGAATCCTTCTACCACACTACGTAAGCAAGATCATACACACAAGCTACGTAGTGATTCGATAAGAAGAAGAATTGTTGTTCAGTTAATTGATTGTTGGTTAATTAGTTTGTTGATTGGTTGGTTCTCAGATCCTATACAGGTATCCCTCTAAAATACACCTCCAATTAAAGAGACCACTTTTCTCTTTCTGCTATTCTAACTAGACACCAAATCTGCTAAAGACCATAGAATCCCCGGTCCCAAAGTTGCCTTTAATTGGAGGAAAACCTGTATTTTAATTGGTTGATTGAGTGATAATCGTCACTGAACAAGTGTGTTTTTGATCAAAGGTACTGTACTGTAATAATAAGTAGCCATAGTATCAATGTGTCTTCTTGTCTTTTTCAATAGCACTTATTGGATGCAATATGTTTCCTTGCCAAAATCAAGGTACATGTATTTCCGTAACCGGAAGTTATTTCTGCGTTTGTCCACCTGGCTATGCTGGCATTAACTGTGAAACACCACCCGTCAGTCCATGCAGTACAAATCTTTGCTTAAATGGAGGAACTTGTACTGATGTCAGCGCCACTGCATTCGTATGCACATGTGTGGTGGGCTTCACGGGTGTATTTTGTGAGACCGGTAAGTCTTATCAGGCCATTTTTTTTTAAAGGTGGTCCCCTTCTCACATTTTAAAACAATATGCAATTTCAGTACATAAAGTGTCATGCATGCAAATAAGAAGCAATAGAATACAGATACGCCCCAAAATGGTGTACAGTATTTATCCTCTCCATCCCCGACAGCAGTAAAAAATGACTAACCATGTGTGAAAGCTACGTAATGATTCGATAAGAAGAAGAATTGTTGTTCAGTTAATTGATTGTTGGTTAATTAGTTTGTTGATTGGTTGGTTCACCAATCCTATACAGGTATCCCTCTAAAATACACCTCCAATTAAAGAGACCACTTTTCTAATTAGACACCAAATCTGCTAAAGACCATAGAATCCCCGGTCCCAAAGTTGCCTTTAATTGGAGGAAAACCTGTATTTTAATTGGTTGATTGAGTGATAATCGTCACTGAACAAGTGTGTTTTTGATCAAAGGTTTTCGCCGTGCACTGTACTGTAATAATAAGTAGCCATAGTATCAATTGTGTCTTCTTGTCTTTTTCAATAGCACTTACTGGATGCAATACGTTTCCTTGCCAAAATCAAGGTACATGTATTTCCGTAACCGGAAGTTATTTCTGCGTTTGTCCACCTGGCTATGCTGGCATTAACTGTGAAACACCACCCGTCAGTCCATGCAGTACAAATCTTTGCTTAAATGGAGGAACTTGTACTGATGTCAGCGCCACTGCATTCGTATGCACATGTGTGGTGGGCTTCACGGGTGTATTTTGTGAGACCGGTAAGTCTTATCAGGCCATTTTTTTTAAAGGTGGTCCCCTTCTCACATTTTAAAACAATATGCAATTTCAGTACATAAAGTGTCATGCATGCAAATAAGAAGCAATATAATACAGATACGCCCCAAAATGGTGTACAGTATTTATCCTCTCCATCCCCGACAGCAGTAAAAAATGACTAACCATGTGTGAAAGCTACGTAATGATTCGATAAGAAGAAGAATTGTTGTTCAGTTAATTGATTGTTGGTTAATTAGTTTGTTGATTGGTTGGTTCACAAATCCTATACAGGTATCCCTCTAAAATACACCTCCAATTAAAGAGACCACTTTTCTAATTAGACACCAAATCTGCTAAAGACCATAGAATCCCCGGTCCCAAAGTTGCCTTTAATTGGAGGAAAACCTGTATTTTAATTGGTTGATTGAGTGATAATCGTCACTGAACAAGTGTGTTTTTGATCAAAGGTACAGATGTGTATAAGAGACAGACGTACATATGTACATGTGCTGAAGGATTTGGCGGAAATAATTGTCAAGATAGTAAGTATATAAATCAAAGTATGTATTTTAATTATCATTTTTAGAATAAATGTCCACTAACCTGGCCGCAGCCAAAACAAATAACAAACCAAGGGTTAAATCATTTAGTTAAGAGATTAAAAATATTAAAACTGAGAAGCATTCAGGGTACCAATAAGTGACGGTATGGTCATGGTAGGATATTTGTAGAGTGCCTTCCACAATAAAATTGTCTCAAGGAATCTTAATAAAATTTTAAAGATAAATAAACAAAAAAATCATACAATAACCAAACAAGCCATTCGAGTAATAAAGTGAGACGGCGGCCAAAAATGCCATTAAACCAACCACGAACACGAAAGGGGAAGAAAATGGGCACTCCCGATGTGTACACACATAAATCAAACCCCATTGACGCAATGCCTCTGTGTGGAGATTTGGTCAATTATTGATCCAGATCCAAATCGTAAGTCAATATCAAACTTCAATTAATTCTTCGTGAAAGGTAGCTCTAAGCTCGCATTAAAAAATTTACAAAACATCAGAGGCAATACAGATACAACCCGAAAATTCTTAAAAATTATAAAATCCTAATTCCGGCAGGAACAAATAAACAAAAATAACTATTGGTGTGGACAGTCGGATATCTCATTATACATCTTTGATGTAAAATACTGCCGATTATTTAAATTGATAAATTGACTCTTTAATTCAGACATTATCAAACGTCATAGAATACTTGGATTTCCAAAAATTGGACGCAGAAGTCTTCCTAACTTTTTTTTTTACGCTTTGAATTTATTTTTCAATAATCACTTTTCCGAAATATTTAATCACCATTCCATAATTTCAAACTTTGATATTGTTAATTTAAAGTTCCGCAGCCGTGTAGCAACAACCCGTGCATTAATGGAGGCTTGTGTACCAACGTTGATACGACATCATACACATGCACGTGTCCTGTGAATTATTCAGGAACAAACTGTGAAACTTATACCCCACCAAGTAACCACTTCGCACCAAACCTTAAATTATTCTATATTATGCAAAGGTTTAACATCTAAACTCGAGTCGTAGTATAAGTATTTGTAGTCTTAATTCAGCATTGTGTATTGTATTTTTTTTTTATCATACTTTTGTTATATATATTTACTCAATTTATATTAGGCTTATCATAAATCTTTCACAGTTCACGTATACTCTTGTTCTACTTATCGGCCTATTTTGGATTAATGTATGAGGTTTTATTTTTTACCAAAGAGGGCCCTGAATATCAGCTTCCTTTCGAAGGAGTTGGAAGGGTTACCCTCTTCGAATATTGTTGAAATATATTTAAAAAAAATTAAAAATAGTCTCTGGAAGGCATTTTTTTTTCTTTCGATGATTGACCCCGGGTGATAATCCAGTATAGTAATTTTTGTTTTTATATATCAATACTTTATCAATGTCAAATAGATTTTTGAAATCATAAATAGCCTATGTAGTTATTCATATACAAGACTAAAATAATATATCCGTCCTCAATGTACAAGAACGGAATAGGCCTATAGTTGAAAAAAATAAATAAAATGCATATAAATACTAATTAAAGTTATATAATTTTTGTTTTGTAGCCGCTGGGGAATGTTCAAGGGCCCCTTGCATGAATGGTGGAACTTGCCAAACATCAGGCACGTGGTACATCTGTCAATGTCTTGCAGACTACATGGGCTACGATTGTGAAACCGGTGGAGGTATTCTCATGTGACATTTATAATATTACTTGTTACCTTTATAATGTTTACATGTTATAATGTTTTAAATGATTTCTCTTGTCTATAGAAGAAGCGAAAAACTGAATGAATAAAATCATTCCTGAAGTACACTAAGCCCCGCCCCTTGGATATTGTTGCTAAGGTTCCATAAAACGACGGTGTTACAACATACGCAAACACGTGCGTAGGTGGGACAACAATCGTGTGGTTGTTAAAGACGCAAGCGTATTCCTGGCCCTGTTCTGATTGGTCAGTTGCTAAGTTTGATTGACACTCAGGAAAGATCCATTCCTATTTTAATATAATTTAATGGTTTGTTACAGATGGATCAATGCCATGTAGCTCTGCTCCATGTTTGAACGGAGGAGTTTGTCAAAATATTGACACAGCCTCGTTTACATGTACATGCCTTCAGTACTATTCGGGAACGGTTTGTGAAATTTACACACCGACGAGTAAGTAATTCGTCGATAGATGCTCATACCAATTAATCTAATCATAATATTCACCTCATTATTGCAATCGTCGTCATCACCTTCACCGGTACCATCACCATCATTATCATTCATTATCATCATTATTATCGTCGTCATCATCATTAGCCTGGTTGTAAAACTACTGAAATGAACTTTAGCGGGAAAAAAGTAAAGGAAAATTAATTTTTGGTTTTTCTGAATCAGCATACCCTATAGTGTGTCAGAAAAAAAAAATCCCCATGCCTAGGGCTTGGGCAATTTTTTTTACAGCACTTTGAAATTTTGGCCTAAAATGCCCTATTTTAAACTATTTAGGATGGGGGTAGGGGAAATAAATTTATGTTTTTGGTCACTTTTACATATACTGTGGATATGAAATGTAACAACAACTTGGCTATATAGTTATTCAACATTCTCATTAAAAAATTTGATCGGAATGATGACGTCATCATGACAAATTCCAAAATGGCGTCCATTATGGTGGGGAAAACTATGTTTTTAATGTAAAAATATTTTTATTGTTATCAAAGTACAATATAATCCCAATACAATATTATACATACAGGAATAAAACAAACCCCATATATATATATATATATATATATATATATATATATATAACTATTACAAAGTTAACCCAACGAAAAAACGAAATAGTGAAATTTTGCTTTAAAATACCAATTTTTGGATCGGGGTATGGGAAACATGTTTATGTTTTTAGTCACTTTTAGGTTTTTTTTTTCTATAACTGTGAAAACTGACAGGACCTTAGTTAAATAGTTACCCATTATAGTCGTTCAGTGGTGGCCAAAGGGGATCTGATGGGGGTGGGTCCAAACACAGGGCCGACTAGACCCTCGGTCAGAGTCCCGGAAAAAAAAACATCCCTGGGCTTATGGGAGAGTTTTTTGTTTTTTTTAGCTTAGTATGGCCCAAAATTTTGCTTTTAAACCAAAATATAATTTTTTTACGGATAAGCAAATCATTATTTGTGGTGTGGTAGCATCGGACGATGGGAGTCTAGGCCTGTCTGACGTGAATTCCCACCTCCCAAGCAAATTTGGAATGATGACGTCAACACACCAAATTCCAAGACTACGACAATCAAAATTAAAGGAAATGTTAACCTATTTAAATTTAATCTTTGTACACTACATTTTTCTTCATTGTCATTATTATACTATTATGTTCTTACTTTATAATATTATTAACATAGTATATCATTATTCTTATGCGTTTTTAAAAAATTATAGTTTATAATTTACATTAATATTAGCGTTAGTACTGTTATTCTTACTATACTGATATCATTATTATTATTATCATCATCATCTTCCTCATTGTCATTCCCATCCTCATTATAATCCCCATTATAAGGAGGATGTTAATGATGAGGAGGAGAAGAAAGACGATGAGGATGATGGTGAGGAAGAAGATGATGGTGATTATGATTGATGGTTGTTGATGATAATGATTGTGATGATTGTGATGAGAATGATAGAAAATGATTGATGAGAATGATGAGGATGAGGATGATGAAGAATGATGAGAATCATCCCTCTTATCCTCACCATCGTCATCATCTTCATTCTCATCCTCTTCACCATCATCATCATCCTCATGATGATGATGAAGAGGATAATGATGAAAATGATGATGGTAATGATGATGATGATGATAATAATGAGGATGATGGTAATGATGATTATGGTGATGAAGATAAGAATGATGATAAGGAGGATGAGGATGATGCGGTTGATAAATAAGGAAGATGATGAGGTAGATGAGGATTGATGATGGATGATGATGAGGAAGAAAATGTTTTGGATAATGATGAAAATGATGAAGGTAATGATGATGATGATGATGATGACAGTAATCAGGATGATGATGAGGATGACGATAATAATGAGGATGATGGTAATGATGATTATGATTATGGTGATGAATATAAGAATGATGATGAGGAGGATGAGGATGATGCGGTTGAAAAGTAAGGAAGATGATGAGGTAGATGATGATTGATGATGATGAGAAAGAAAATGATGCTGATAAGGATGGTGAGGATAATGATGATAATAAGGAGGAGGATTAGGATGGTGAGTTTGATGATGATGATGAAAATAAGGATGATGATGATGATTATGATTGATGATAATGGTTGTTGATGAGGATGATCGTGATAATGATGAGTATGATTGATGAGAATTATGATGTTGATGAGGTTAATAATGACGAATGATGAGAAACATTCCCTCAGCCCCTCATCCTCATCTTCATTCTTGTCGTCCTCCTCTTCATAATCATCCTCATGATGAGGATGATGATTGATAATTATAATTAATAAGGATGATGATGTGGTTGATGATGATGCGGACAAGGATGATAATGGGGACAAGGATGATGATGGATTATGATGACAGATGATAATTGTAATGAGGACTATGATGATGAATGATGGATGAGTGATGATAAGGAGGATAAGGATGAGGTTGATGAGGATGAGGATAAGGATGATGATGGATGAGGATGATTAGTAGGATGAAGGTGATGGTGATGATGATAACGATTATTGGTGAGGATGGTGATGAGGGTGACGATAATGGATGATGGACCAACTTTACGTGTAAATTTAAACAATGTGGACCATTTACCCATTTTTAGCTAAATACGAGAAATATGGATCCATTTTATGCATAAAATTGCATAATTTGGACCCATTTTTAAAATGTGGACCCATTTTTTTGTGGACCCATTAGAAAAACGGTGTGGGACTGTCCCAACTGTGCAAATAGCTGGCTACGCCATTGATGATGACGAGGATGATGTTGAATGAGGATGAATATGATGATGAGGATGATGATAAAGAAAATGATGAAAGATGAGGAGGATGAACATTATGGGAATGATGATAACGGCGATAGATGATTGATGATGACGTGATGAAGATGAGGACGGTGACGATGGATGAGTATGATGTGATGATGATGGTGATGATTACAACGATCGATGACAGTAAGTATGATTATGATGATTAGACAACAATGAGAATGATGATGACGATGACGAATATGAGGATGATGATGACGGATGATGATAATACTGTAATGATTGATGATCAATAGTGGTAATAAAAATATAAATAATGTTATTATATAACAGTACCAACAATGTAATTCATTTCAATAATAAAATATAATTCTAAAATAAAAAGAATACAATATAGTAATATATAATATAATAATGCTAATAATGATTTCAACAATAATAAATAAGCATAATACTACTATTAAAATAATGATATTTATATATATTCTATATGTGTACATTGCTTTGATAAGATTGTATTTTATACTTTGAGAATAATAATAATTTTACAAAAATAACCATTTTCCCCGCCAAGATAAACGCCCTCTTGGAAATTGGCATTATGATCATTTCAATCTTCAAATTTGATAAAGACAGTAAAGAGTACGGTAATTTAGTTAACATTTATAACAAAACTAGAAGTGACTAAAATAATGCCATAGTTTTTTCAATTTACGCCGATCCAAGTCCAGAAATTGAATTGTTGGGTCTTTCAGAGCAAAATTTCGCTATTTCTTTTTCCAGTGGGTTTGTATTCTGATAATGATTATTATATATATAATATATATATATATTTATAGTTATATATATGTATGTATATATATATGTTTTATTTTATTTTTGTATGTATAACGTTGTTTTGAAATTTCTCTGATAACAATAAAGTTAATTTTACATTATAAAGATGTTTTACCGCCAAAATGGCAGCCATCTTGGAATTTTTTGTGATGGCGTCATCATTCCGATTAAATTTTTTAACCAGAGTGAAGAGTAACTATTTAGCCAATTTCTAGTTACATTTGATATACATAGCATATGTATAAAGTGACTAAAAACATACATTTATTTCCCCTACCCCCGTCTTAATTAGTCCAAAATAGGATATTTCATGTCAAAATTTCAAAGTGCTATAAAAAATGTTGCCCAAGCTCTAAGAATGGGGATTTTTTTTTCTGAGGCACTATATGATATACTGATTCAGAAAAACCAAAAATAAATTTTCCTTTACTTTTTTCCCGCTAATTTCCTACTACACCCAGGCTACATAACCTGACACAACTTCATCTGATCGACATCACTCGTGCTATGTTTATCACTCTACTTGTTATCATCAACATTACTGTCAGCAACATCGGCTTCTTAACATCCATCATTTTTATTATCATCATCATCGTCATAATTATCATCATATTATCATCATCATAATATTTGTCAACATCAAATCGAGGTTACTTATTACTAATATTTGTTATAATAGTAGTAAAAATAATTGTTATTTATCATCATTCATTGTAAGCAAAGAAGTTTTTATAATTTCAAAACTACCGTCAGTGGTGGCGCTACGGGTGGGGCATTTTTTCCCTCCCCCAAACAATTTTCTTGACCCCAGTTCCCCCTTCAGTTTTGCCGGAAAAATGAATTTTATATGTTTGGACAACAAAATTAATTGCTCCGATTGGTCTGTCTAAAATGTCAAGGCCACTGGCCATTTAAAAAAAATGCATTTATCAAACTTTTTAATAAATTTTAATAAATATACTTAGAATTTAAATAAAAATAACAAGCACATTAAAAGCGTTACCGTATCCCGTTAATGTTGTGATTATATAAATTATTATAATTGTATCTCTATGCTTATACTTTTATTTACGATTCCAGCATTACCCTGTGATAGCAATCCATGTATAAATGGTGGCGTATGTACGTCGGTTGACTCAATTAGCTACATGTGCGACTGTCCAATGTACTACTCAGGAAGTAACTGCCAAACATTTACGCCCCCCGGTAAGCATGCAATATTTTATTACGGTATTCCTTTTTATTTGCTTAAATGTATGCCTATGATACAATCTATATAAAAAAATCCGCTTTAATCGAATTAAAACATTAAATTGCTTAACTAAGTTGAAATTATCCACATCCACGGGGATAAAGATCAAATTATATTGGTTTTCACTAATTTAAATACATTACAACAAAAGAGTTCAGATTCCATCAAATATTAGCGTCTATGTAAACAATATAGGAAATATTTATTTTTTTCTGGGTGTTTGAATGTTCAGTCTGCAACATTTACACCCTACTGAGAGCATACAATATATCGTATTAATTTGTTCATAATTCTTTTATAATTTCCTCGTATATAATTAATGTGCGAGGAAATAATTTTAGTATTCCAGCTGTGTCAACACAAACAGCCTTTCTGTAAAGATTGATAACTTATCCATACACTGATGATAATAAGATACTGTATTCCATTCCCACCACCAATTTATTATTGTCACTCATGTCGATATTCATCAATCACATATATGCAACAAATCTCTTAATGTCAAATGTGGTTGATTACATTTAGATTCGGGAGTTTGCTCTACAAGTCCTTGCTTAAACGGAGGAACATGTGCGCCTTCGGGCACGTGGTACGCTTGTTCTTGTACAGCACAGTTTAATGGGAGCAGATGCGAAACATTCGTAGATTCGGGTAAATTTGCATATCGTCTCAAATCACGGAACTTTGCGCACTAGCGCCCCCTCACCTAATCGTCGAGCCCCCACTTCATCCTCGTGACCCATCAGCCCTCACTCCATTACTATTTCAAGATTCACAGATACGGTACGCCACTGATTTCACTAGGTCAGCTGGTTACCAGAAATAGGCCAATGGTTATCAGGTAGAGAATTTCTCTTTAATCTACCTAGAGAAATAGCCTACTGAAAGTATCTACAAAGGGCTTTTCTGTTTCAATTATTATTTTTATTTTTTTATTATACTGTATATCAAAATACTCATTTTACCCTTTCAAAATTAAACTATAGAAAAAACCTTAGCATAGTTAAATTTTTCATAGCAATCTGTGTTCATTATTGTGTTTCAAGCTTTCATTGTGTCTTCAAGTGTGTCTTTTTAATCAGTTTATGTTTGAAATATTTGGAATCTAGTTAAGCATCACTTTTTTAAATGTCTTTTTTTATGTTGCTTAGTTTTTGAGAGCCTCTTTGTGTAAGTTGAATAAATACCGGTGTGGCGTTCTTTGACATAGAAATTCGTTAATGATTTTCAAATCATAAATTGCACTATCCGTGTATCTAAAGAAGCATATAGGTTTAAATGTAAATTGTATTAATGTTTTTTGCACAGGTGCCGATCCTTGTTCCAACAGTCCGTGCCAAAATGGAGCAGCTTGTGCGATTAGTGGAGGCACCTACATGTGTACATGCACGATCGGCTACGAAGGAACTAATTGTGAAACCTTCAATCCAGGTAGGCCTATAAACAATGAAATTTTCGCATATATTAGTATACAGTAGCATAACATTACACTTTTGGTATGCCTTTATTACACGCGAATACGGGTTAAAGTTATATAGTATTAAAGTTGCATATAGTATTTGTATCAATAGAATGCATAATAATAATAATAATAATAATAGTAATAATAATAATAGTAGTAGTAGTAATAATAATAATAATAATAATAATAATAATAATAATAATGAGAATAATAATAATAATAATAATAATAATAATAATAATAATAATAATAATAATAATAATAATATTATGTCTATTAGTTCATGCATGGAGAAATATATTAATATATTTTCTCCATGGTTCATGCTATTTTCCTGAACAAAATATGTTCGCAGTTTATTTACCATTTCTACATCCACCAGCGATTTTTAATTCTACTGCTTTTTTTCAGGACTGTCGTTCTCTTGCTCGCCAAACCCTTGTGCAAATGGAGGGAACTGCGTACCCTCTGGGAATGCGTATTTCTGTCAATGCATACAAGGATTTTCAGGATATAACTGCGATCAGTAGTTTAGTCTAAATATGACCATGATGACATCACATCATAAGCACATCATGACTAGGCCTATATATGGGCATACACCAGTTTTTTGTCGGAGAAAATTTGTAAAATCTGGACAAAGCTTAATATATCAGCTATTTATAAAACACTACCGTATTACTTAACGTGTCAACATCTGTATCAAAATTTTGATCTTTGATAAGGAAATGTATTAACTTTTATAGGCTTTATTCGATAAATATCACATTAAAACTTAGTGTTACTAGACAAGAACTTAGATTTGTTTAGATGTTTGCATAATAGATACTGAAATGTTCTGTCAATGGTATTTGAGGTAAATATATTCAAAATTCAAAATTCAATATAAAAAACATACATAGCAGCAACAAGGCTGAATTGCGTATGGGTATTCATGTTATTTATTCGAATTATAGAATCAATTAATAAGTGGCAGATGGGTATTTACTAACAACATTAAATACAATCGAAAGATGTGATTTATATTATAATATTAGCAGTTCGAGAAAATATCACCAGTTATTTACAGAACTATATCCACAAGGTGTCCCGCAAAATATTATTATATACTACTATGTTGTTATAATCAAAATAAAAGTAATAAAAATAAATAATGTAAATCCTAATCCTGAATCCGCTGTAAAATTTGTACATAAAACATCGGTGATCTGGCATTGTTTTGATACGTATAAGCATGTTTCCCTTGTCATTTATTAATAGGGAGATTTCACAACCTCACGAAAACGAGAGCGGAATACGAATACGCCATTATAATCGTTATCGTCAGCCTTAAACATTTTTGACAATATGCAATACGAGCTATGATTATTGATTCATGCAAAACGGCATGAATTGCCTAAGTTGTGACTGATATGCTACTGTAGGTAAAGGGCTGTCTAAACATTTGATGACGTAAACGTATTTTTATCGTTTTCGTAAGCTTACGAAAACTCCGTACTGCAATCTGCATTGCATGCTTGCTTTCAACCATTGCCGATATTATTATCATCATGTACTTTGTTCTGTACATACTTCATTCTCTCAGCTATTTAATTAGAAGGAGGAATGTTTAAATTCTTCGAAGCAGGGGACCTCAGTTGATTGCTTAGCAAGATGGTGGTGTATGTTCATCCTGTCTCGTAGGCTTACTTAAAAACCTATCATTTAGCATGAAACAACCTAGTATATGGGGTGGGGGTGAGTAATTTCAAAGGAAAAATCACGTTATTGGCTATAATTACAGCTATCGCCATCACTACCATCACCAACACCCAGTACCACCATCACCACCACCATCATCACCATCTTAATCATGGCATAATCACCATCGTCATCGTCATCTTTGTCATCAGCATGATCGTGATCAACACATTATTACTATTATTATCATTATCAATTATCATTTATCATTATCATTTGTCAGTTATCATTATCATTTATCATCATCATTAACAATTTATCATCATTATCATTACTAAATATTACATGCGCTCTTTCTGCCTTTGATCATATATAATTTCATGGTCGTCGGAACCGCCCCGGCCGCACCGGCTTTAGCCTGACTAATTCTTCTCATATTTTGTATTACTTTAAAAAATACATATACTTACCTATAAATTATATAATAATCTTTGTACCTCAAAGGCATTCGAATGTTTCACCACATACGTGTTTTGTAGTGCACTATTAGCCTATGCATTTCAAGCTCCTGTTAGCAATCATATTGAAAACTTCTTTTAAATCTTTGATTTTAGCAAAATTTGTTCACCTTTGCCTCAACCATTCAGGGCATGGGTAGGGTATCTAGTCGCCCACTAGGAAGTGGCTCTATAGGTTGATGCTATTTCCAGGCACTAGGGTTGTTGTTATTTATTTATTTGTTGGCACCTTTAAGGGTTGGAGCTTAGCGAATGGTTCATGATCTCCTCTGTAGTATGGGAGGTAGAGCTGTTGGCACAGATTTTGAAAGGGGGAAGCCGTTATGCGAGGTACGTAGGACCCCGAGGGGGAGAGGTTCCAGGGGAGGCCCCCTGGAAAGTAGCGCGCTCTGAAATGATAAAGAGAAAATTGTAATAAACGCATCATAAATAATATTAGTACTCTCTTAATGTGAAAGAGTGAATTTTCATTTAGATAGTAAGCCTAACAATAATTACGGTATATAAAACTCAACAGTGGGGGATCCAGGAATTTAATAGAGAGGTGACCCGGGGGGGGGGGGAATTTCACAGATTGAGGAACGACCCAAGAAAAGAAAATTTATGATTATGGCACCTCTAGATAGCCGGAAATTGCACTTTCAGACTTAAATTTGGATAGGGGATCTGTATTTTTTTTCCATTAAAAAAAATGACCACTGCTTAAAACATTCTTTATCCAAATAGTCATAGTCACGAAAAATGGGCATGTAAAACCAGATCACATCCTAAAACAAATTTATGCACTCCCGCCTCATCAGCAGTCATTAAGACATACTCTGGGTCAGGTGTCGACTCGATACAGTATAATGTCATACCCAGTAAGGGCGCAATCTGTTTTGAAATGTGAAGGTGGGGTGGGAGGATATTTCGTGAGTCGACACCCACCTCAAACCCACCATGGTTGGGTCTATAGTGCGAAAATTTGAGGAAATAGTACCTCTAGATGACCAGAAAATGACATTTTTTCGTAAAATTCATCATCACATAACAATTATACAGTAAACAACGCTGTAGCCAGAATGTTTCAAACGATGCGGAACAATATCATTGTCAACCCACTTTACGCGTAAATTCAAATAATGTGGACCCATTTTCTTAAAAGTGGACCCATTTTAAGCAAAAATATGAAAAATCTGAAAAATTGTGTTTGACTGTCCAACTGTCCCAATAGCTGGCTACGGCATATACTCAAAATGAAGGGCCAACAAATTTTTCATGATCTTTTTATCAGGGATTCTCGGCAACCATAGATATCTTATTAATATGTGATGTACCATAGAATATAAAGCTTATATAAACATTTAATTACACCTATACATAATAATGATGATAATAATAATAATAATAATAATAATAATTATTATTATTATTATTATTATTATTATTATTATCATTATTATTATTATTATTATTATTACACCTTATACATGTTTCTCCTATCGCAAATCCAGTTATTGTCTATTCCATCACGACAATAACAATTACTATCAACACTGCAGTACCCGCTGCTTACTTGGACTCGAATTCAACCCTGGCCATCAGGCGCAAGCTCGGTGGTCTAGAGATATGATGCCAGGCTAGTAATCTGGAGATCATGGGTTCGAGTCCCACCCTAGAACAACTTGTGATCATCATGTGATGCCGCAAGACCAAGTACTCAACTTCGCCAAGGCTCACATAGTTACCAACCGTCTCGCATCGTACGGGAAAGTCCCGCATTTCAAAGTGATGTTTGAAACACGCATTTTGCAGAAACGCATGCGTGATCATAAATTTGTCACGCATTTAGCGCAGGTCTATGATTGATAACGAATTTTCACAAATTCAGTGGAAAATCTATTTAAATTAGAAGAAATTAGTTTTATTAAAAATATAAAAACGGTCATGCAGTTTAAACTTGAGTCATTAGACATTATTTACGTGAATACTTAATTCACTGAAGCGCTATTAAACATTAATCAGTACGCCTATTCAATTTTTGTTTGTGTAAGTAATGAAATGTTTGTGTACATTTCGGGTACTCAAATTAAACATAATGTAGGCCCTACATTGAAACTCGAATTGTATGTGTCTTTACTAAAAATATTTTTGTACCCGGTATTGTCAACAAACGCTCCTTGAAATACAATTTAAAACAGCGTAAAATCCTCAGATCCTCAGGGCTCCGCCTCTGGACCCCGGGCCCTGCCCTTCCCCCTCCCCCAACAAACTGGTGTACTCGTAAAATTCAAATCTTTAAGGTTAGTAACTATGAACAAAACATACAGTAATCTGTCGATTCTGAAATTAAAACTTTTAAAAGTGAAAATTTGGCCAATTTTCTGCAAAAAAACGTAAAAGTTTTGCGTTCTGGTGGCACCTACAGCTGCTTTAAAAAAAATGATTTCTATTTTTTATTATTCAAAATCTCGCTTTTCATTTGGTTTAAAGTTTAGATAGAAACACCTCTAGACATTTCCAATTGTTTCATTTTTATCATTTGCATATTTTATAATATATTTTAACACGATTTTAGTAACCTTTATCTTTATAGGCCTATGAAATAAAGTACTTTGAGATAATACTAAATGTTCATTAAAATCACTAAAAGTTATTAAAAAAAATATGGCAAAAAAAAGCAATTTCGCTGTACAAAATAGCCCTAATGTATCCTCGCTGATTGCTCCGCAGGTAATAACACCAGTACCATACGTACAATTGAACCAAATATATTCTAATCACATGCATAATAAAATCACCTGACTCTCTCCCTGACGGGTTCCGGGGTCGACGAGGCTTCTTGTCGGTTATACGCCGGTAACCCTACGCTGAGTCTGGGCCCGGGTCTTGGCGAAGGCCCGAGCCTTGGCGAGGTTATATATATATATATATAAATCAAGATAGGATGTAGGGAAATCTAAACCGTCTTTCAAAATGCTATATAAATAAATATATAAATAATAACAGTGCTCAGAAAAGAACATAAGATGTAATGATCATACCAAATGTGGAGGGGTCACCTAAAACTCCAGATGCCGTTAAGGGGAAAAGCAGGTTGGACCGCAACTTTATTCGAACGATACAGGGTCCGATAGAGTATTGGTTGAAATTTTATAATATAATATTCGCCTTTAAGTTTTATTACAAAAAAGTATAAAAAATATGTGTATTCCGTACATTTTCAAATTTGGACCTTGTCGATTTGGGGTGGGGTGTTGGGGAGCGTACTCACCAACTCATGTTAAAATAACGCTTTATCAACATGTACACTTAAGCTAATGTATTAAATCAATCAAACAATCAATTTTGTTTTCTGAATTTATATTCCAATATCTCATGAAGGTACGAATGTCATAAAGTTTCCAAAAAGTGTTTTTAATCTAATAAGATTTATACTTATAGGCCTAAATTAACACTGATGCCAAAATGAAAATAGTTTAAATGTATTTCTGACTAGTTCAATCTCTTTTATTTCAGTGTCGCAGGTCAAATCTGCCGATCCATCAATAAGTGGGAAGTCGATGTACAATCATTGTCAGCGGAACACGATGTGTATTAAATTGCCGGAACAATACAATAGCCGGATTTATGAGGTCTTAATTCTACAAATAATCGTGCGCGGATATTTATTATGATTTATATCATTGGATCGCTAGAATTGAATCAAATTTGCCAATTATGTTTCTTATACAACGAACAAGTAATTCTCGAACGATATTACATACTTAAATATAATTTGGCCTAAGCATTATTATATTATATAAAACTAAAATCTTTATATTCTATTTATTTATTAAGCTTTGATGTAACATTTCCGAGTATGTAAAAAATAAAAGTAAACTGTAGTGTAATTTATAATACATCATTGTGTGTACATTGCATTAATAATTATTTCATGATTATTAATCAGTATATAATCGATTTAAATATATTATAATCATTTCGAATTCGAATATAGCACTATTACAGGCTACTATATCTTATAAACATTCTTTCCAAATATATTCACATTATACCAACAAATTTTTCAGAGCAAGGTGCTGCCGAATTTTACAAAACAGGAAATGACGTCGGTTGCTAGGCTACAGGGCATGCATATTCAGTAACACCTGTGCTCATTAGACTAACAATAACAATTTTTTCAGAATTTAACAAAAAATTCAGTGTCATTTTCGGCCATCTAAAGGTACCATAATCATCAATTTTCTTACCTCAACCCTAACCATGGTGGGGCTGAGGTAGTATAGAACCTTCATCTGTGAAGGTCCCTCTCTGGGCCCCCCCTGTATTTCAAATTCATGGATTATAACAATGGATTATAAATTACTTAGAAAAGACACTACAATATCAAGTTGTAGTGACGTCACTAGGATTTTTTAAATTACATTCAAAGCAAATATCAACAGGTATGAAAATCATGATTAACCACAAAAATGATTATTTTATTACAAAATTATCTACATTCAATAAGCCTTCGTAAAAAGTATCCCACATGGTATCTAATCTTGCGTCTAAACACATATTAAATATATTACGTCTTATAGATTACATTCTCATAATAATAAAAACAAAATGGAACACATTAATGCTAACTCTATCCTCTAAACATTATCATATAAATTGATCATAAAATATGTAGCATTGTTGCAACTCAAAATGTTGACATTTTCGTGAGGTATTTTCCATCTTGATTTAAAATATAATCATTATTTTTAAACAGTACAGAAGGTATGCCTGATATAGGCTTACTACTAATTATAATAGTGAACACAATACCTCTTACAGAACGTGACTTACGGTAAGCATTTTGATGGAAATTTATCATATGCCTAACATTGTAGTTCCCCACAATGATGACATCTTTCCGAGGAATTTGATCTAAATAATCGGGTTTTTTTTAAACAGAAGAAATTACGTGTTATGCAATAATAATCATCGTTACTATATATTGCTAAATATGTATACGATACCGTAATGTACCAGGTCATTAGGATTGCTAAAATCAAGACAGGTATATAACAAATTATTGAGAATATGGATGCGCCCTTGCCTGCGCTGTCATGATATTTTGATGCTCCTTTAACATTATGTTAATACCACTAAATCTGTTTTACTAAACAAAAGAAGTGCAATTATATCGAATAAATAAGTATTACAGAAAATATATATAACAAGCGATAAACTAATTTTAACAAGAATACTTTTAGTGTATATAGGCCTAATTTGTCACTGATACTACGAAATACCACATAGGCCTATTGGAAGATTATACTTGTACATCCATTCAGCCATTAAAATTTAACATGAATGATGACTCTACAAATATACCCGTTTGTTGGCGATTGTTGCTGAGGTCTGACAAAAAGTTTAAAAGCAAAGAGTATAGAACTGTAAGAGGTCCGACTGCCCTTATTTTTATGCAGGCAATGAAACGTTAAAAAGTACTGCCACGAAGGGGCGTGTCCTTCAAAAGAACGTAAAAGGCGTTCGTATTGAACGCGTGCTGCGTTTCGAAACTCGAACATCACATACGCTATTATAGACCACAGCACGCGTTCGATACGAACGACTTTTATATTCTTTTGAAGGACACGCCCCTTCGTAGCATTGCTTTTTGAGATGAGATTGCGTTCCAACGAAACCCCGACAGTCGGACCTCTTGTAGTTCTATACCCTTTGGTAAAAGCATTACCCACACGTCACACGCCCGTGTGTGGGACAACACAACGCGTGCTTGTAGGACACAAGCGTATTGCAGGACCTGTTCTGATTGGTCAGTTTGAAACTTCCAGAAAGGTCCATGAAAAAAACCATGATAAATTATGTGTCAGTGTACATCCTCGTGAGGTGTACTCCTTGACGCCTTATTTTTCTTAATGAAGTAGTATATCGTAGTCCAAAAAAAAAAAAAAAAACTAAATAAACTAAGGTACGATGGGCAGAAATGATACTAATAATTAAAGAGATAGGCCTATACTAGTGGTGCTATTTCTTGCTCAGATGTGTGCTTACTCTCACTGACATGTGAACTCACTAAGGAGAAGGAACAACGTCTGAAAGAAAAAAAAATATATATATATATAAATAACTTTACAATAATAATAATAATAATAATAATAATAATAGTAATAATAATAATTAATGATCATAAAAATAATATTACTAACAACAACAATTATAATATTAACAACAATAGCAAAACAGCAACAATAACACAATGATAATAATAATAATAATAATAATAACAAATGAATACAAAAACAAAAATAATAAAAAAAATCAGTGAGTTGCAGATAAGCACCATCAAAGTGTAGAATACAACTATATACAATTTAATACACACGAATAAAGTAGGTATACATACTACAATCGTATCCTGAGTAGCCAGTAATACAGGCGCATGCATAGTAGGTACCTGCTGGCATACATGTTCCACCGTTCTGACAGGGGTTGAAGTTAGCGTTGCAAAATTGGTTAACTATGAAATATGAACATAGCTTCTAAGTTAAGCTAAATTACAATAATGTTTAAAATTCATCAAACACAGGGAGCAGTCATATTACTGTAATTGTTGAAATATGACTGCTCCATGATCAAACAAACATCATATTTCAATATGTATGAATCTAATAGATATTTTAAAATTTTCTTACGAAAATAATAAATTAAAAGGCTTATAATTTATTTGAAAACTAGCGAGTACTTTCGATAATGAGTCTTTATTACCGTAAGCTATGAAATAGAACATGGCAAGATATGTATATTAACTATTTCTTTGAAACACCCCTTTAAAGTAGTGTAAATCTTTGCCGAGCTACGGGGCTCACATAGGATGGAGCTTATCCCCAGTGTATAAGGTCTCACCACCCCAATTAAGAGAACGCTTGTTCATAGGCCGCACACCAAAGGAAAATATAATCCCTCTTAACACAGGCTAAACTCCTGTACTATAACAATAGAGTTTGAACTGAAATATGTGCATTATAGTAGACGGATATGGTAGTAGATAGCCGAGAAATAGTTACCATATAGTATAGGCTATATAAATATACATATACATATTATAACATAGGGTACTAGCTGATAAACATAAATACAATATTAGCTGATAAAGTGCTCAATTCCACACTATAGAGCATGTAATAGTATATTTATACGCTTGCTTGCTTGCTTGGTGGGTTAGACAGTCGACCAATCACTTACCAGTAACAGTCTGACAAATGTTGCCAGTGTATCCCGAAGGACAAGTACATTGATATGTGCTGCCAGTTATAGAACATGCTCCTCCATTTAGGCAAGGGCTTGGATTACATGGAGTTGCTATAGAAAAGAAAAACTTTTATTTTATTAATTTTTTATTACGATGCAATAATCAAATTACTTCCTCGTTTAAAATTACAATGCTGTAAAAACTAATTAATGGCAATAAAAAGAATATGAATATGAATTTATAACAAAGCAAAGTAAAACTCGTACATACGTAATTATTAGTGATTTTGTGGAATAAATAATTTGAATTATGTGTGCACACTCGTCGACACGTACGTGTGCAAAGGCGTGCACACGTAATAATTATGTGTGCAAATTCGTGCACACGTAATCATTATGTGTGCAAACCCTTGCACAGGTAATCATGACGTGTTCGAACGCGTGCACACGTAATCATGATGTGTGCGGACGCCTGTACTCATGGAACAGATTTCTTGTCCCGAAGATGTTCTCTTAATACGGTATTAGAATATATTTTGCTCTTTTAAGAAATAATAATAAAAAAAGAAAATCAATTGATACATGATAGATCATAAATTATTAACTTCGGATCAGACAATCGAAATTCAAATTTTGCTTATTTAATTTACTATTATTTCACTTTACTAAAAAGTTTCTAAATTTTCACTTGTAAATTTCAGAAGCCTATGTATATAATTTACAAACGGTATTACTTAATGCCTGTAAATTTACAAGGAAATAGTTTTTGTTCCATTTTCCAAATCAAAGCTAAAGCTATTAAATGTTAATAACTTAGTTTTTAAGGCGGGTACAACATAACAATAGTACAAATATACAATTTTACTCTCAAAGATTATTATGGATAATTTCTTAATTCAACAGAATGCATATCCCGATCGTCAAATTAATATGAATGTACGATATTCACTCCAACATTGTTTATTTTTAACATTTAATCTAGATTTATTAGAATCTTTAATCATACGAACATGCTTTATCTGAATTAGACCTCAGAGTGGGCCTGTGATTCTAGAAGCGTTAAAATTATAAAGAGGATGGACTGATAATTCAATTGGTAACAGAGTGATGCTGGAAACCGGGCGTACACGAGAGCTCTCTGCTTAATAATTTTTGCGTATACCGTAACTGCTCGAATAAACGCCGCTCTCGAGCGACGTACCAATCCTGATTTTTTTTAGCTAAGCGCTGCTCTCGAATAAGTGCTCTGTGTGTAATGAAAAACAGGGTTTTAGTCTATTTACGATGATGTAGGACGAATTACGGGCCTACTGAACTACGGGAATACGTGAGGTAACATGGGAACGGGCATGGAAGCGCCACACCAATATTTTTTCTCTCGAATAAGCGTTGCACTGAAGCCTCCAAAAATAGTGTAAGCGCCGCGGCGCTTATATTCGAGCATTTTCTAGAAAACACCTTGTTTATTATGGTCGTGCTTAAACACGTAATAGCACTAATAGCACGCTTAAGTTATACACGTATATTTGCAGGCTACGTTTATGCTTGAAACATACGGATGTCAGACGTTTTAAGTTTTGACAGTAAGTGCAAGAAAGAAAAAGTCCGAATATTAAAGCGCCACTATATGTAAACACGAGCGATTGGCATTCCTGGCACAATGACGAAACACGATAGATATTTCGTACAATGAGCCTTTCCAAAGTGTCAATACAATTTAGGCTACGTTCAGACCTGAGAGATACGCAAGGCGTATCTAACGCCGGGCCTACGTTAATCCATGGCGTAACTAGCGAGATGTCCAGACTGTGCGATTAACGATCGCTAGCGTAAGTATTCACGCGAAATATTCGTATTCGTAATCCGCTCATTTTCTTTTTCTGGGACCTTAACAACGGGTGGAGCATAGCGAGAAAGTTCATTAGAGCTACGAATGCAGACACATTTGTATATCTACCGCACACAAGCGCTATCGTGCTTATACGCCAAATGAATGAAATGGACTTTAGCGTAAACAGGTAGCTCTCGCGTGCTCCGAGCTTTGTAGAATGCACCTGATACAATAACCAACACCAAGAAAAGGTTCAAGAGTGCAGCTAAAAATACAAACTATCATATTAGTAAACGTAGTTAAATATGAATAACATTTGCATTAAGCTTTGAGGAAACAATAATAAATCTTGGTTCACAGTAGCAACACTTCTACGCCTGTCGCCACCACCACTCTTTCAGTGTGAACCACGCGTACTGACGCAATGCGACCCCCGGCAGTAGGCGCATGATGCCACAGCCTCACAGGGAATGAAGCCGTGGAACAGCCGCGTCTGATGTCTAGTGTGAACCAAGACTTATCAATAGAGCATCCACTAGTAGTTACCATTTTCACAGTTTGTTCCTGAATAGCCAGTTAAGCAATCACAGAAATAGAACGATGTTTCAGCTTGTTGCGAAAAGTAGCATGTTCCACCGTTCTGACACGGGTTGGAATCGCAGGGCGGCGGTTCAGTAGTTGTTTCGCAGTTAAAACCAGTATAACCAGTAAGACAGGAGCAAGAATATGTAGAGCTAGACGGAATGCAAGTTCCACCATTCTGGCATGGATTTACTGCGCAAAGACCTATAGCGGACCAAGAAGCAATTATACTGTGGCATCACTGGTGTATATATAATAGGCCTATTTAGGCCAGGTAAGCTGCATGGTTGATACCAAGATACTACTCAGGCCTACTGATTTCTAAATGTTTCTTGTAAATAACAATAGAGTTTGAACTGAAATAAGTGCATTACCGGTATAGTAGACAGATATGGTAGTAGATAGCCGAGAAATAGTTACCATATAGTATAGGCTATATAAATATACATATACATATTATAACATAGGGTACTAGCTGATAAACATAAATACAATATTAGCTGATAAAGTGCTCAATTCCACACTATAGAGCATGTAATAGTATATTTATACGCTTGCTTGCTTGATTGGTGGGTTAGACAGTCGACCAATCACTAGACGGAATGCAAGTTCCACCATTCTGGCATGGATTTACTGCGCAAAGACCTATAGCGGACCAAGAAGCAATTATACTGGGGCATCACCTGTGTATATATAATAGGCCTTTTTAGGCCAGGTAAGCTGCATGGTTGATACCAAGATACTACTCAGGCCTACTGCATTTCATTTTAAAAGATGTTTCATTCCAAAAGAACAGACATTCAGTGTTAAGTATGTTACATCAAGTGTAACTTCACTTGAACTTACAAGAAATAATCCATGTGTGTATTTGTGTCAGGCTAATAGACAGATGATTAGTCAATTGTAGTGTTTACCATGATGGCAACCAAGATAACAAGAAACGTTACAAATGATGGCCCAGAAACATTATTTCCAATTATAGGTACAAGTAAGCTAATGTGAAAGAATCAGTTTCAGTGTAGTGTTAAATCTTGGTATTTGTTGGTTTTAAGTTGATAATTGTTTCCATCATATTTTTTCCATATAGGCCCAAATACTTAATATAATCAAACTATTCAGTGTTCCATTCGTTTCCATTTACTTGGAAGAAGCACCCGTAGAAACCAGTGACAAGTTGGTTTTAATATAAAATATAAAATAGGCCTAAATAAAAATTAAAAAAAAAAACAACCAGCTTCAAAAGTAAAGAGTCACGAAAATTTCTAAAGGTTTCTTGTAAATAGAGTTTGAACTGAAATATGTGCATTATAGTAGACAGATATGGTAGTAGATAGCCGAGAAATAGTTACCATATAGTATAGGCTATATAAATATACATATACATATTATAACATAGGGTACTAGCTGATAAACATAAATACAATATTAGCTGATAAAGTGCTCAATTCCACACTATAGAGCATGTAATAGTATATTTATACGCTTGCTTGGTGGGTTAGACAGTCGACCAATCACTTACCAGTAACAGTCTGACAAATGTTGCCAGTGTATCCCGAAGGACAAGTACATTGATATGTGCTGCCAGTTATAGAACATGCTCCTCCATTTAGGCAAGGGCTTGGATTACATGGAGTTGCTATAGAAAAGAAAAACTTTTATTCTATTATTTTTTTATTACGATGCAATAATCAAATTACTTCCTCGTTTAAAATTACAATGCTGTAAAAACTAATTAATAGCAATAAAAAGAATATGAATATGAATTTATAACAAAGCAAGTAAAACTCGTACATATGTAATTATTAGTGATTTTGTGGAATACATAATTTGAATTATGTGTGCACACTCGTGCACACGTACGCGTGCACACGTAATAATTATGTGTTCAAATTCGTGCACACGTAATCATTATGTGTGCAAACCCTTGCACAGGTAATCATGACGTGTTCGAACGCGTGCACACGTAATCATGATGTGTGCGGACGCCTGCACACACGTAATCATTAGGGCCTATATGTGCAATTTTGTGCATATTTAATCATTATGTGTGCAAACTCGTACACACGTAACCATGAATAAAACTCACCTCCAGGGGTTTCACAGTTATATCCACCATATCCAGCAGCACAGGTACATACATACCAAATTCCAGATATCTGGCACGTGCCACCATTCAAACAAGGAGCGACAGTGATGCAATAATTATCGGAGCCTAGAACGAAAAATCAAATTTGGAGGGGTGATTTTTATCTGGTTAGTTGTTCGGAACAGAGCCCATATTATCTCAAAAAATAAGAATATTAGTATTAGCCAACTTTGCATGATACCGATACAAGCATACGTATCGTATTACATTTCAGCTGTCTGCATCGATCCTAGTATTTTAAAAAGAGTAGACTTATACTGTAAAGATTTTATAGTATTGCTTGAAAAAAAAAAAACTACATACGTGTTTGGCAGTTTGTTCCTTCAAATCCAGTTGTGCAGCTACAGGCGTATACTGTACCCGGTTGACCACTGGAAGAGCATGTTCCACCGTTCTCACATGGGTTCGCATTACAAGGATTGTCCACTAAAAAAAGGAAAATTGATTAACATCAATTTAATCAGTAAAACAAAACAACACGTTAGAGGCCATATGTGTATACTTCTGTCAGTTTAGCTATCGAGAGATAACGTGTCTTAATACTATTCCTTTCAATATGTAATTAGGTAGTACGTGTTGTAATTGTGATTTAATTTTCATTAATATTTTCTATACAAAATTAATTTGACAACTGCAGTGGCACATACGTGCCACGGCAAAACTTTCAAAACATCAAGGCAAAAGTATTACGGCAGCTTATGAAATGTCACCACTGAACTTTCAAATACCACGACAGAGTGATTTGCTAACTTTTTTTCGTTTCCCATGACTACTATAGGCCTACTAATTTTTAATGCTCAATTTTCAACTCGATACTAGACATTTTAAACGTTTTGCACTAATGTTTTGAAAGTTGTTTTGAAGCAAGAATGAATGTTTTGGCGTAATACGTAGGCCTCTATGGTTCACCGTCGTTGATAATATACTATATTATTATTAATATTCTTAACCTCTGATTCCTGTTGTGGATATCAATAAGTTGTGTTCTTTGGAACATTGGAATTAATAAATCTTTTAGTAGAGCGTTCGATCGCAACCAAAACGTGACTCCGGACAAATTCCATCGTCCTAAATTGTTTTCTAAGGCGCAGTGTTCTTATCTTTTTGCTGATTTCAGGCTCAAAATGTTCTTATTTTGTTCTTATTGTACACATTTTTCAAAAATAGAAAATTATTATTGTACAACAGTATTCTGTACTGCATTGTAGAGGATATTACATAGTCACTCCTACTTCACATGGTACAGATAAAATTATTTTAAAGCATTTTCAGCCTCAGTTTTCTTATACAATGTGTTTTTTTATTTTTAAAGTGTATTGTGTTACTACTTTCTCTTACCATTTGCACAGTTGGTACCGGTGTATCCAGGAAGACAGTCGCAAAGGTAATGGTATCCACTCTCAGTACATGTTCCTACTCCACAGGTTGTGGCGGAACACACCGCTGTAGAATAATTAGAATAATAATAATAATAATAATAATAATAATAATAATAATAATAATAATAATAATAATAATTATTATTATTATTATTAAATAATAATAATAATAATAATAATAATAATAATAATAATAATAATAATAATAATAATAATAATAATAATAATAATAATAATAATATACAGATTATTAGTTCCTCTCTTTCTCTTTCTCTCCGAAGTCTCAATTGTTCGGTACTGTCACATTTACATTATGTCGACCTATCCAACAATCAGAACTAGTAGAAACTTTCAGAATTTTATCATTACAGTACTAATTTTTGATAGCAACAGCGATTATTACCATTAATAATGTATATTATTTTTATTAGGCCTACTATTTATCAATAATATCATCATCATCATCATCATCCTCATCATCATCATCATCATCATCATCATCATCATCATCATTATTTCTATGGATGAATAAAATTGAATCTGTTTTATTAATATTATTATTATTATTATTATTATTATTATTATTATTATTATCATCATTATTATTACCTGTATTAATATTATTATTATTACTAATATTACTACTATCATCATCTAACATTATGAATTGCATTATTACGATTCTCCCTCTAATAAAGAACACATTTGGGACAGGTGTCAAAATGATGTAAGATATGTATTATTTGGGGCTACAGAACAGTTTATTCTTAATTGGAGGTGGTCTTACATTGGAGGGGACTTTAATTAGACGGAGACATGTATTATTATTATTATCATCATCAATATCATTATCCATCTTATTATTAGTAGCACTATTATTACTACAGTACGGTACTAATAATATGCTATCATTCGTCCTACTAGTCCTTCTCATTATCATTATGGTCATCATCATCATCATCACCACCACCACCACCGCTACCACCATCATCAACATTATTAATCATATTTTTACACAAATTGGGTTTCAGTGTTTTTGATATAAAGTTTAATACATAATACTTCCAGGGCAGTGGGAGCCGCGGCTCCCTCCCCCCGCACCCCATCTTTGTACGCAGTATTAAAATTTAAAAGCTTTCTTGCTAGCCAATAAAAATTCTTTCAAGTGATCACACAAAATGAATACTTCTAAATTATGTAAATATGCATCAGTACACGCTATACATAGGCCTACTATAATAACACATGGGCCTAAGCGTGATTTAAAAAAAAATCTTAAATCCATAAATCCTAGGATAGGCATTTTCAGATACAAAAATGTGATATTGTATCGTTCAGTTTGGATTTTATTCTTTTGCAAGCTCTATAAAGTTTTGTTTTAATACTACAGTACTATTAGTAATAATAGTAGTAGTAGTAATAATAATAATGATGACTATGATGATGATGATGGTGATAATAGATATAATAATATTAAGAAAATTGTGATAAAGGCGAAAAAGTAAGTTGTCATTGATCATTATTAGTTATTACAGTATAGTTAAAGCTTAGTAAGTTATAGTTGTCCTGGATATTAAGTAGATCTCTGTTAAAAAATGATGAGAAATTTGTTGGCGCTTCCTTTTAACTATATAATGATGATGTGATGATGATGAATTTTATTATATAAAAGTATCATTTCCGGCCATCTAGAGGTAATGTCTGGATCAACTCTTTCGAATTGAGTTATTATATAATTTTTGTTAGGCTTATTAATATTATTTATGATGCGTTTATTGCAATTTTCACTTTATCATCCCAAAACAGTCCCAAAAACCTTTAGAGCACTACTTTCCAGGGGCTTAGCCCCTGGACCTCCTCCCCGGGGCCCGACGTACCTCGCATAACGGCTCCCCTCTCCCCTTTTCAAAATCCTGGCTACGTCCCTGAATACTTCACAATAAGAAATGTTCTGAGTGGATTTAGCCTTCATGATACACGTTTATTAAATCTTTCAGTACTGAGGTCATCCAACAAGAAATTCATTAGATGTAGGCCTATCTTTAAAGGCAATTTTCTCTACAGTCTGTTTTCAGACATCTAAATTTATTAATGATTTTATTCCAACGGTCCACATCCCAGGAGCTTAATTGAATTAAAGAACAAATATAGCTTATATATTATTGTCATCTTACTAAATATATTAATAATTCATTTTTTGTGCTGTACAACAATACAAAGTCGACGATTCATGATCTACATACCTGCCGAGAATTGACACTGGTCACCGTATTGGCGACCTGGGCAATTTGAACACTGATATCCTCCTGCTGTAAGTGCTGTACATGTCCCTCCATTACATGGATCTGGAGTACACGTCGCATCAACTATTCAAATGCAAAAATAAATATATATTGAAGTGATACAAAGCAACCCTGCCACCGAGGCGGTGTGGTAAAGAGATTGAGATAAATATGGGGTCCTTGGTCTAAAATTCGATATGTACTGACTGAGAGTATCACGCCAGTTCGGCATAGTTTCACTTTTGTGAGGTTGCAAAATCTAGTCCCAATCTTATGTCCGAGAACAGTTCTTTTAGTGAGCTTTCGATTGCTTGACGACGGTTTAGTAAGAAAGTTTAAGTATAGTAGTAAAGTCATATGCGTATGCGAGAACGTTGAGTTCTCGTTGTTTTCTCTGGAGGACGCAGTTTGGCCAGAATCTACGTTGTGCGGAGATACAACGCAGAACCGGTCACGGATGAGTGAATCCGTTTAAGTTTTACGTCATTACGCAAAAATCGAAACTCCCTCTTTTATGAAAATCACGTGTTGTGCGCCCTTAATATTGATCTTAAAGGCCTAAATACTCGTAAGATAATTATTTCACTAGTATATACCCTATTCCACTAAAGATAAATGTTTTAAATGATCGAAGCTTTGGTTGTTTTTTACTCACCAGATTCACAGTTAGTTCCTGAAGTACCCAGACGGCAGTCACACACGTAATATGTCCCAGATGTTCGACAGGTTCCTCCGTTTTGACAGGGGTTAGTGTTACAGTAAGTGTTACCTGCGGGGTTGATGGCACGGATAATTGTGAAGAATTAAATATTAAAGAGACATTCATATTAAATTGCAGTACGGATTTAAAGATCAGAACTGAGAGCCCATTACGTACTAGTCGGTGGTGTGTATGTTTCACAGTTGGTTCCAGAGTAATCCTGTGGACAAGCACATGCGTAGGACGTCGTTCCAATATTCATGCAAGTCCCTCCGTTCTGACAAGGAGTGGCGTCGCAAGGAGTAGTGGTAGACGCTAAAATATAACAAGCAATGAATCAATCTAACGATAAACGACAACCACAACAATTATTTAAATTAAGATACATACCATGTACATGAATATTAATTGCTCTTAACATGTCAAAATTTCTAGAAACTTGCCAATAATTGTGAAATATACATCGAATTCATGCATTATAACATGATGTATGTATCAAAGTAAAGAGTACATTGAAGGGAAGTCACTATACGATGTGTATAAATGATTTATATATTGTTTCTAGTCGGTAAATTACATAATAATGATATAAGATAGAATATATTTTTATGACGTTTTGTTTATTTTCATGCTAGTCATTATATACGGTAATTTATAAATATTATTATTATTATTATTATAAACATTATTATTATTATTATTCGTATTATTATTATTATTATTATTATTATTATTATTATTATTATTATTATTATTATTAAAAAACGTTTATCAACAACATCAATATTTCAAGTTCTGTAGAACGGTACCGTAGTACCGTAAGTCATTCGTTAGGGGCGAGTTTGTTAGGGGACGAGTTGATAGGGTGAGAGGTTGTATGGGTGACTGTTTATAGTCAGTGGGCGAGTGTGTTAGGGGGCGAGAGTTTGAAAGGGCGAGTTTGTAGGTGGCGAGTTTGTTGAGGGGCGAGTTTGTGGGGAGCGAGTTTGTCAAGGGACGTGTTTGAAGGGGCGAGATTGCAAGGAAGGAGCGATTGCTAGGGGTGAGTTGACTGGGAACCCCTGTACGTGTGGCGTACTGTACTGGGTAATTTTGATAAGAATACATTACATATTGCACGCATGTGCAGGCAATATGTACTGTAATAACACAGCCTATTCAGTTTTCGGGGGTTTTTTTTGTTCTTGTTTTTCTTAGTTTTAGTTAAGATCGTTATTTTTCCTTCATATTCTTGTGTAGGCCTACTCTGTAAGGACGCACCACAGATTGTGAGTGCCACTGATACAAAGTTGTAGTGTCATTAAATAAATAAATTGTTTTAATTCATAAAGATATAATAGTACAACAGTGAGCGTCCTCCTCCTATAGCTGCGTTTAAAGTTCCTGTAGGCCTATAGAGAAAGTTGCGACATGAGCCTACAGGGGTCGTGAAACATAGGGGCAGTACAGGTTGTTTTTGGGGTAGTATGGCTTGTGAGGGCGCTAATAGGTTTTTTGTGTCAGTAAAGGTTGTGGGGTAGTTGTGGGGGCACTAGACATTGGGCACTATAGGTTGTAAGGGGCTAAACATTATATTTTTGAACAGATAATGTTCATTAATAGAGAACGCTATAAACTGCCGAAACTAGAGTTCCTATCCGAAAGTTTGCAACATGAGCGGTTCCAGATTTTTTCCCCGTACGCCACATTTGCATAAAACTCCACTCGGGCCGTCTCAGATCGACTCGACCGAATTCGACAGGATACTAAGTCTATTTTTAAGAACAAGAGAGCAGGCTCGGGCATGTGACGCAACTCTCTCTATATAGGAACCGCTATACCGTACTGCATACTAACTGTGTTCCCTTCCCTTTCTACACCCTTTAATGCAAGTCACAACAATACTTACAATCTTCACAGCTGAATCCCATGTATCCCTCAGGACACATGCACATATAGTACGTCCCTGACGTCATGCACGTCCCTCCATTCTGACATACCGATGGACTCTGAGCGCAATAATCAATAACTGTGAAATAAATTGGGATATATTGTTTTTTTGTTTTTTTTAAGTTAAGAATTGGTAACTTTTGGAAAGTATCTGTTATGTAAAATAAAATTAAATGACAACGCTTGTATTTTTGACGTTTTCTAGGGAAATATGTGGTCATGTGTATGGCTAGTTATTATTCGCAAATGCTATTCCTAAGAGAATAGATAAGGAAAATTCCATTTTGACACACTGCTTCTGTTACCTAGGAATAATCATCTTTATTAAATCTCAAATAAAATGAAACCCTATCAAAGCCAGGTCATACCTGTACAGACCGATGCAGGAAGACAACAAATATCATTTGTATTAAATTAGGTCTACTAGATTATATACAACTACCAGTAAAGGAAATAGAGTCAGGGCAATTCTTATATGTTTTGTAAAGTATTCTTTTTTTAACTCATGATAGAGGAATATTTTTGTAAGTTACATGATGCAGGATCAAAGAAATGTATTCAATAGTAATGACGTCCGGGTGGTCCATCTATCATAGTAAATAACATATTCTTTAATAAACTCTTATTTTGTTATGTAGCTATAAGCTATCTTACCCATCGTCTCAATCTCCCTGTTAACTATACAATAATAAATAGTTAAATTTCCACACACCACCTGCATCAGTGTAGATAATTGATTGTTTTTATCACTAGTTATATTACTTACAATACGGTACCATTTTGAAACCAATAGAAAAGGGTCGAGGTAAATTCCGATATACTTTCTAAAGCATTAAATTTAAAAATAATAACTAACAAATATCATTTGGTCCCGTTTGGTTCCGCTTGATCCATAATTAATTAATTACTCAATAATATGACATCCGATTCCGCAATCTAAATACCATTCTCTGTGAAAAAAAGTGTTGGTAGCCCAAGCTATACCATGGAGAAAATTAACTTACAATTTACTTTCTTACTCAGAATTTACAATATACTTTCAGAGCACAGTTCTACTAAATCACAACCAGATCTGCATTGCCAATCCCTCTGTTAACTATACAAAAACGCATCGTTCCATTGCCCTTCATATCACTGAATAACGTAACACCATGATTGGTTCTAAATTTAGGACAATGCATTAATAGAATACGTAAGCTTTTATTTGGCAGGATCGCCTGACTTATTTCAATAATAGAAATAACAAAGCTATCGTGTCAAGGTGTAATCAGAACGAATAGCTAACGCGTTTTAATAAATGGAAAAACATACAATACAAGGTCCGGCCACCACAAAACGCGTGTTAGCGAACCGCGGTGAACCATAGTTAGATTGGATTTGGTATGAAATTAAACAAATCCTCATCAATGAGTTGATGATTAGAAATAATACAAACGTATATCTGCAGGGGTAAAATAACCTTATTAACTTTTATGTGAAAAAATGCCAACCTGCGATTATGGTCTAGTGGTGGGTGAGGCCTGAGCCATATTAACATAATTTAAATATGATTTTTGTATAGATAGGCATAGACCTACAATATCATTACAATCTTAATAGAATGTTTATAGGTCTAATCTATATAATTATGAATAACTATCTAAATCATAACAACTAATAAATAAACTATCTAGTTTAAAACACTGCACCGTAAAAATGCTTACTCTGTTAACAAGTTATACTTTTATTTCAAAATAAGGCCACTTTCAATTCAAGAAAATTACCTTAAATAATACTATTAAATAAGTAGGCTTATCATTTAAATGCAAGAACATTCCAATAGTAAAAAGTTTGGAAATCATTAAAACTATTTCTATTCAATCTGGTTTTTTTTTTTAAATTAATTTATTTTGTGTGGGTGGTAGGCCTATATCTTTCAATATAATAAGCCTATTCATTATCATTGTAAACCTAAAAATGTTAATGACTAGTTTTAAAACACCATAAAACGGAATTAGGCCTACTTTGATGTAGACCGAACGATGAAAACCCACTTCCCCATAAAATTTAAAGAATGGCAAGCATGTAGTAGAAAATCTATCGATCCTACGTTTCCTATAGCAAAATATTTAGAGCTATACTTGTGATTTTACACCCAAGGTCTTTCAGAAATATTCCCAAATTTCAATTTAGGTCACGTCAGGTTTGTTGTATTTTCACTGGTTTGTGTTTGTGTTTGACCCGAACTTCACTCCATTTGGCAATTAATTCATAAAGCTTTTAAGTTACAGATTAACAAGGGACAATTACACTCCTTACGGAAAGGATTAACTTTACTATGCCGCTAAAAATAAAGCGTTTACCAACAATGAAAAGTTCTAGCACTTCAACGGGGATTCAATGGGTGACCGTTATATGACCACAAATGTCCAAGAGTTGCTAGCTATTGGGTTTACAACAACCGTATGATTACCCTGGAAGAGGAACTGAAGCGTGGTTAGCAGATTATCGATAAACCTCCAACAAACTAAGTTTTTGGCAAATATTCACAATAGTCAATTGTAAAAAATGGCACTTAAAAAGACCTTTCCTGTAACTGTTGGATCTGATTGTCGAAAATAGTTCATAATAAAACCCAAGGTATTTACCTCCTCGGGTGTCGTGAGGTAATTGTGAACTTCATTAAAAAAATAACAAACTGCGAACTATACAGACATCCAACTCCAATTGTCAAAGGAAACAATGCGTAGTACCTGGTACGATTGGAACAAAATGGGCGGTATTGTAACCGCATGGTACGAGGATAAACGGTTATTCGAATTCCACGCATATTCAGACGATTTTACTACTACAGTATTGTATTCTTATGTACTTTACTCTTATGAATCTATTAATACATATATCACGTTTTGGAAACTTGCACTCCTAACAATAATCAGTAAATATTTTGGCTAGTAATTATTACAATGATGGAAACCATTCAGTAGGCCTAATAGTATTTAAGTGAGTTTTTTTTAAAGATGACTTACAGTAAAACAACACTTACATTTAGAGTTTAGAGAATAATTGTTCAGTATAAGGTGATTGAAAGTATGATAAATCTTATTAACAAATGCCTCTACAGCAATTTTTTATTCTGAGTAATGCCTACTTTTGATGAAAAAAAAAAGATTTAATCTAATGGAATCCGATTAGAATGAAATGAATATAATGTAAGTATTGTCGAAGTATATCGGTATTTTCACAATACTTTGCTTATCAAAGTTTCGTGTAGTTCAAATGATAATTATATTCAGATAAGTTTAGCTCTTTTTTGGTTCATTCAAATTAACAGTATAACCTACTCAAATGCAATAGGTTACCAAATAACATTAAAAGGTTAAAGTAACAATACTAACTTCTTGGGGTAATTAGCACGCACTTAAAAAAAATGTAGGCCTATTCTGTATAATTCTAGCATTGCCGGAATCACTATTCACCCTAATGAAATAATCTGATATGATAACCTTCACCAAACATCTAATAGAAGATTCTGATTAGGGGATTGTGACTGGTGCTGTCACCAGTATAGAAGTGTATCATCATTTTATTTGTCACCAAAATTGCCTTATCAGAGCATTTAGGTAGAATCGGTCGCATTATTGTCCATCCACATTTGTCATAATGAATAAGCACATGTTCAGGCTCGTATCCAGGGGGGTGGGGGTATGGTTCGGGAGAATCCCCTTTCTAGCAAACCCCTCTCTTTTCGGGCGAAACCCCCTCAGTTTAAATTTCCCAAATAAGTCCTCCAACCCCAAGCAGACTCACCCAGACACAGACATTTTCAAACATATATGCTTTTATAGCATTATTTAGACCCCCAAAAAAACACAAAAATCCTCTTGCTTTTGGGGTCTCGCGGACCCCACCGGGGCTTCGACTGTGAACCTCACGCCCAGAACCTGTGGACCCCACGCCCAGAACCCCCCCCCCCCGCTTGGAAGAACCTGGCTACGGGCCTGATGTTATATACAACATAAAAATATTAAACTATAAACCATTATTCTAAAGGTTTCAATTCCAATTGAATGTTAATAATTATGATAATGATGTTTATCGAAATGAATCTGAAACCTCCTAACTCTCACATTTTGTTTGTCAGACCCAAATTTTTTATCAGAAATTGTCTGGAAATTCAGCCATTGGTGAGTGGAATTGTAACTTAGTGTTTACGATGGTTGCCTTCCACTTATAGGGTAATTATAATGATGTCATGAAATGCCTATGACTAAAACAAATGCATTTTCTTAGTCCCTCAGTTTGTGTTGATCAGTGTGTTTATGTTTGTAATTGAAAAGAAAATTGCAAGTTATTATACGTCAGTAAATCTGTCTTTGATAAATAATAAATCTTTGATCTAGGCCTATGTTCTTACATAAAAGTAAAAATGAGTAGAAAAATGTTTCGATTTACTTAAGAAATGTCGATGAAACACTGCCTATTGATAAATTCTGATAATGTACGTGGCTACCGCATTTGTTGAGTAAATAAATATTTTAAAGGACATTTCGAGCATTAAACAAACATCATAGAAACATATTAATTGTTATTATTATCTAAACACATATGCCTCTTCCATATGAATTATAAGAAAATAGACTCAGAAACATGGATATAGTGATCTGTATTCAGGGGCCCAGATTCAGCTCCAGGGGCCGAATTTACTATGCAATTTCTGGACAGAACCTGGTTGAAATGCTTCCGCATTTGAAGGATCTTGTTTAACCGTGACAAGATCACAGATAGGACTGCGAATTGTTAAAATCATAATAAAACTTTTGTAAAAGTATTGTTAGATAGGAAGTCGTTATGGTTAGGGTATTCTATTCCAAGAGATAAAACTGTAAGTGGCTAATCCAAAAAGAGCGATTCATATAATATTATAAACATTATCAGTGGACTCTTTTATTGAACAATTATTGGCGGTTAAGATGCTTGCCTTCCAATCCCATGGTTTAGCCAGGCGAGAATTCGCATAATAATGAACCGTAGGAAACGTGTTTCAAAACATTGCTCACAAAATGTACGCTCGCTCACAGCGTACGTAATTGAATTCTGATTGGTCATTTCATCACCCGAAGTCAATGCAAGTCCCACCGCAAGGATTGAAGCCCGGCTTTAGAAAAGTTAAACACGGTAGCACGCCAGGCCTAGTTACTATAGGAACACAGCCCGGATTGAGATAAGCCAAGATGTGTATAAGAGACAGGTGCGCCGCCTCCCCTAGATACGCCACTGTCTACAAGTAGGACAGTGATATATCCGCTATTGATAATCCTTGGTGCATGTGTTGTGTTTTTAAATAAATAAATAAATAAAATAAATAAAGAAATAAGAAATTTTAAAAAAATGCATTACATGTTGTGAACGATGTAGACTACTGGTAATCGTTGGTATATCGTAAACGCGCCAATAACCTTAGCGAACTTTAAAAGGGCGTGTCGAAATTATACGTCGTAATGTATGAAATCGAACGTTGTCTGAACTTGTACCGCAGCGTTCTACATACAAAATATTAACACAAGCCTAAATCGTTTATATATACACTAAGCAGTGTTTATACTGAGTATAGAAGTGTTTAGTTAACCGACTAAACAATGTGGTATTGTTGTCAATTTAGCGCATTCTGTTAAGAATTACTATAGAACTTATTACTTTTATGTCAGCACTACTTGGTGCGGTTTATGTATTTCACAGTCGTTGAAACTAAACAGGAGAAACGGTTTTAACACCGCTAAACGATGGATTATCAACATGACAACAAATCAAAACCTGCTGCGAGAGTCGAGATGAAAATACGGTAGTGTACTCAATCATGGAGGAAATATATTAAGACTCAATATAGAGCAACTTTGAGGTTATACGAGAAACAAAATTAGTTCTTTAACGATCTTCCAATACCTCCCAAATACATTGAGTGACTGTTAATAAAATAAAATGCAAAAAAATACCCTGAAAAACTTGTATTCCATATCTTTGGGCGTGTCACAAAACACTTGTTACCCTCTTTATTTTCACTTCGGAACAGTATTATTTATAAGCACGCTTTCTTTCTGATTTCTTACATACTGGAAAATTTAATTATGTTTATCGCTAGGCATAAGCATGTTTTTGTTTTTTTGTGATCAAATTTACGGTTAATTACTTTCAGAAAAATAGGCATATCGTTGTTCAATTACTATTCAGAAAATTGTTGAACGCTATCCAACGCATCATTTTAAAATATCTATTCAATATCTATTTAAAAGGAAAGAGTCGCCTAAGAACCGAAGTAGGTCTGCATCCACTGGTAAACTTCCCTGTTTCTCTTTTCTCATCGTTTCCACTGAAGTGAATTTAATCACTCGAATACCGTATCATTGGACTTCAGATAAGCAAAAATAAACATAATATCTAAATATTTTGGCTTATTTAATAAGAAAATATCTAATTTCAAGCCTACCTTGGCCGCTTACTGCCACGAAAAGGGCAATCAAAAACACAACCCCAGCTTGTCGAAACATATTTGTTTATCTGAAGAGGAAGTTGTGACCGAACTTCACCGTGGGTATCAACGTGGCTCTGCAAGGCTACAATGCCAACTTGTCTTTTATAAGTAAACTACCGGCTTTTGTTTGAGGCTTTTCTTATAGCGACAAAGGACACAGAGCTCTATGAATAGATGTATTAAGCATATATAATGTGACGTTTTCCAGTTTGGTCACGGTGAATGAGCAATAGGTACACAAATGTTTTTCAATAGGTTCATCGATCAAGTACCAGTTTGTGATATATTATAGCTGTCTTCATCAATATGCATAAATGTATACGGTTTAGTTAAAAAGTTTGCCGCAAGAACACTTATCGACCGGTGCGCCATTATTGAATACAAAAAGTCAATTGAGGTTCTACAATAACAAACTATTACACAGACGTAGAGGTTATAACCAATACCTGTCGTATAATATCAAGTTTTGTCATTATAAATACATACATACGCACAAAAATATTGTCAACTTCGGCATTTCAATTGACTTAACTAGATTGTTATACCAGATAATAAAGATTATTGAAACACTTCAGTGACTGAAAGCGATTTTATCATTTTTACCATTTTCCAGTAAAATTATGGGTAAAAACTAGATAAAATGCACAAATTTCTGTGTTGTGCTTAATAGTCTATATATTTCTTCAAAAGCTTATGAATTTTATTTCTGTTAATTTTATGTGACAAATCTTTAATGTTTCAGGTGTTTTGGAGGTTCTTTAGATCTAATGTCGGAGCAGGAATGCCTAAGAAGCTGAACCTATGTTGACGTAGCACATTGTTGCTTAATAGGCCTATCAGAACAACCTGCTTCTATTAGCTCAGCCTTACCATGGATATTCTATGGATATTCTGGATTAAGGTTTTGAATAAGTTAACCCGTACCGGTAGTTCAACAGTAAAAAGGATTTGCGACTATTGTTACAAAATTGTCATTTTTCGTTTGTCGTTTTCTAACCACAATAATTCTATTCGATTTACCCCAAAAAATACACAACTCACCTATATAGGCCTATATATATACACATATATATACATATATATACATATATATATACATATATATATATACATATAATACATCTTAAATATACAAGGCCCTTGGACTTACTAAAGCAGTACCCGTGGCTTAGCATCTATAGACCAATGGCTGCCACAGTCACGGGAATACTGGCACTACTTCCCGCCCGCTTCAGACAATCTTTTGTTTCAAATATATTTAATGGAATGTAAAAAGGATGTGTGTTAGTTGAGTTTACATTAGACCGGAACAGATTTCTCAAAATCTGTTTTGAACTGATATAAATATATCTTGTATCTTGTATTCCAATAGTGAAGTTTGGGTGTTATACAATGTCTTTTTGAATCGTTACTGGCGCTTGTAACCTTGAGACTTTGACATCCACCGTTTCGTTAAAAAACCTCCAGATTAGTAACAATATAAATAACAAAAAGGCGACCAATGCAGGAAGCTAACTATTGATGCATATTATTTATGTATTATGAATCTTAATGTCATTCCTACCGATGACTTCAGGTTCCCCCACAGTATATAAACACTGTTTATCAATAGCTGGTGTTATGCAACTACAATTACTTTGTTAATAAAGTATTATAGAAGTACCGTACCTTGTACTCCATTTTGCATTATATACCTATCCACTGTTTACATTACCATGTTTTTATATCTACAATGCTTTAATAGACGACATTGTTTCCGTATTTGAACTGGTTTACATGCCCATTTAAACTATTACTTCTTAAGGACAGGGAACTTCCCAAGCAATATTAAGTAGCAGAAACCGAGGAATCGTGAAAGTAGAACAGGTTAAGCAAAGCGGTGGCTGATACTATTTTTTCAAACCCCTGGCGGTCATAGTGTTAAGCAAACAAGTCTTTATTTGGTTTTGAAAAGAGTTTGAAAATGGCAAAACATGGGAGAAAATACTGTACTAAAGACTCACATTCCGGCCTATACCAAAGAAATGAAACCTTCAAATTTTCTGACGACGTGTTGTATAGAAGATGAGAATGTGATAGCAAACGGTTTTCAAAGAAACAAAATATAGTGAAGAAAATATGAGAATGAAAATGATTGTTCCTCCATTCGATTGATATTGATGAATTATTGGAAGATTGTAGGCCTGCTTACCTCCAGTATCTTGTGTTTCACAATTAGTGCCTGTGTATCCAGACTGACACACGCAGGTGTATCCAGTTGTACTACCAACGCACAATCCACCATTCTGGCATGGACTATTTGCACAATAATCCGTCACCACTAGAATTATATAAATAAACAAAGTTACTACAATGATATGCTTTTTTTAATTTCCTAAAATTTGCGAAACAACTTTTTGTCCAGTTACTTTAGTTGCCATAGTACTACTATTTCTTACCTGTTCCACAGTTAACGCCTGTGTATCCAGTTGCACAAATACAGGTGTATCCATTGGTTCCGTCGATGCATGCTCCACCGTTCAAACATGGGCTACTAGAACATTCATTGGCTCCTTAAATAAAAAAAAAAAGGGATACCATACCAATTAAGTAGGCATATGTTCGTATTATTAAATATTAAGATTGCATTATTAACACGTCAAAAAGATAATGACAGTTGAAATATAGAAAATTATCATTGGATAAACTGGGGTCCCAAATCTCCCGGAAATCGCGGGAGTTTTTCTGAAATCGGGACGGCCTTTCGCTCTCCCGCAAGCAAGCAAGAGTCTCCTGGAAATTAACCCATTAACTCAATATTTGCATGTTTTCACTACTTTATTATCAATTGTCTTTGTATAGTCATTGTCAATGTGTATCACAATGTACAGCAAAATAAAATTAAATCTTACGAAAGCTCATTAACCAGATCAGCGGCGGATAAGAGGGAAGACCCCATCTACAATTTTTTTTTCTAACAAATGGAGTGAAAAAGAAAATCATATTTAAATTTCAATCTGAGAGTGCCACTTCCGACCATCTAGAGTTGCCATAATCATATATTTTCTTACCTCAGCCCCAACCATGTTGGAGTTGAGGTGGTATAGACCCTACATTTATGAAAGCCCCTCCTTGCACCTTCTATTACGAATTCTCGCATCGTCACTGTGAGCAAAGTGAGCGAGTTGGCAGTTGCTCAAAATATATCGAAAGTGGTACCGAGGGCGAAGTTCCTAAAATCTATCTATTAATATGCAGAAAATACAGTACATATAATTTATTCCTCCCCGACGAATTGTGGATTTTTTCCCCGACGGGGCAAGGGATGGGAAAGCGCTCTCCGACAGGGGCCTGCCCCGCCCCCCCCCCCCCCCCCCCCCACAACCCAGAATTGACTTCTTCCAACTTGGTACCCCTGGATAAAACAAATTTTATAAAACAACTTACCAGTATCTACCGTTTCACAGTTAACACCTGAGAAACCAGATCCACAACTACAGGTGTATCCATTAACAACGTTATTACAGGTTGCACCGTTAATGCATGGGTTACTCGCACATTCATTGTTATCTAAATCAATGCAGAATGATGATTAATGACTTTGACAAACAGTAATCACGCCCATAGCCAGGGGGTTTTATGGTTCCCTCTTTTCTAGCGAAGCGACTCTTTTCTTGTCAACCCCCACCCCACTCATTTCCCGAACGAGTTCCCCAACCAAACTAATGCACTGCAGACCCACCCAGACTCAGACGTAATATTTTTCTCATGCTTTGAGCTTACCAGCAATAAATCAAATAAACACCTAATTCGTCATTTATTTGTTCACATTCCTTTTAATTGTACATTCATAGAATAACATATAACAATTTTAGAAGCTTCAAGTTTAATGACCGCGACTACTGCGATCCCTAACATGGATTATGTGAGCCACTTTACAGCGGCTCACATAAACATCGCAAACATACATCATTTTTGTTTTATAGTAATAAAATGTGTTGCTACAGTGTATATTGATATTGATTAAGCGATGAGGTTTTTCTGTCCTTTAATGTGATTTTATCCATTCCAATTCTCAGAAAATAATAATATCTTCCTTAAACATCTCCTGAAAATATGTGCAGACCCTTAAACATCTCCTGAAATTATGTGCAGACATTTTTCAAACAATAGCATTGTTTAGACCCATAAATCGCAAAAGTCGCTCTGGCTTTGAGCGTTTCGTCCTATCACCCCACCCAACCGGGGCTTCCCCCCTGGACCACATCGAAGACCGTGGGCGGCTCACGACCCCTGCATCTCACGCCCAGAGTACCCTTTTTGAAGGACCTGGCTAAGGGCCTGATAATGCTCTGGTATTGTGGGTGTAAGTAAGTAAGTAAATGGTATTGGGATGGTGTGAGTAAAGACCGTTATAGCTTTGAGAAACAGGTAACCATAGTTACTTCAGATCTGAAAAAGCTTCACTGTTAACTTAGAAAGACATTTTATCAGTAGAAAAGATATTAGCTAGAACGTCTAAGATCAATAGTTACCTGTTTCGCACCGAATTCCTGAAAATCCAGGTACACATGCGCAGGTGTACCCGTTGGTGACGTCAGTACATGTGGCTCCGTTTTCACATGGATTACTCGAACATTCATTAATTTCTATAAATTTGGAGATCAACGAAAACATCTGAGATAGAAATGTTTACCTTATAACCATGAAATTTAATTTAATGATAATAATAATTATAATAATAATGGAAATAATAATAATAATAATAATTATTATTATTATAATAATAATAAAACCGTATTTATATGTCGCCTATAATTG